CCACGCTCGGTGATCACGATGCTGACTTGATATGTCATGTTTAGCTCCGAAGTGTTCTTCAGCTTGAATCCGGCGAGCAGGTCGTCTTTGAGCGCTATTCCGACTCAGCCGCCTCATATGTCACCCTTGACGCGGACAAGCCCCAGGTCTACAAGACGCTCTTCCGCGCCGCAAAGGCGAAGCTCAAGTTGCGTCTGAGGGCCACCGTCCCCGGCGAAGAGCCCGTGGTTGCGCCCGTACCTACACCCGCGCCAAACCATGTGGTCCGACACTACCAGCCCACTGCCCACCCCGTGAGCACCGAGACTCTCACTCCTCAGGGCGGCGCTCCCATCTCTCCGGTCATTGCCCGCTCGCCAGAAATCAAGCCCACTGAGAGCACCAGTCTTGTATCGCCACCAACGACGGTAGATGCTGACGGCGAGGCTCCCGTACCGCAGGCCTTCACCGCTCGTCAGAGTAAGCAGCAATTCCACATACCCATGTCGCGCGATCATCGGCTAACACAATGTACAGGCTTCTTCAACAACCTCGCAACTGCGAACTACAACTCAGGCCTCGCATTCCGCCCCAAGCCGAGCAACGCGTGCACTTCGTGGGTCGTATACTGCAACAACTGCAACGAGCCCATGGAGGACGAGCACTTCCACTGCAGTGTATGCGATGGCGGCGATTACGATCTCTGCCCAGCCTGCGTAGACAACGGCATCCACTGCCCCGGAAGCGGACACTGGATGGTCAAGCGCTTCGTCAAGAACGGCAGCGTCGTCAACAGCACCACCCAGCGCATCGCACCCAAGGTCAAGGCCGAGACCGAGGAGCCCCAACAACAGGAGATTCCAGGTGCCTTTACCGATGAGAAGCAGTCCGTCACATATGAGGAGGAGCCAACCCGCACCTGCAACTGCTGCGTCAAGGTCCTCCCCGAGAAGGAGTTTGTCACCTGCATTCCTTGCGAAGACTACGACCTTTGCCTCACTTGCCATGTTAGCAACAAGCACGGTCACCACCCTGGCCACACCTTCAAGCCTGCCACTTCCGAGACCGTTCTGCCCACCCTGGCCGACTTCTTGTGCAACTCTGGAAGGAACGTTCGTCACAACGCTGTCTGCGATGGCTGCGACAAGTTCATCTACGGTGTTCGCCACAAGTGCTTGAACTGCCCGGATTGGGATTACTGCTCCGACTGCCTCAAGAACGCCAAGTTCATCCACCCCCGTCATCGCTTTGTACCCATCTACGAGCCTTTGGCTGAGCCTCTGAACAGCGCAAACCGCCACTACGGTATCTACTGTGACGGTCCCCTCTGCAAGGACAAAGAGAACCTGTCGTACATTGACGGCGTCCGCTACAAGTGTGCTGTTTGCCACGACACCGACTTCTGCCAGAACTGCGAGGCCCATCCCAGCAACAAGCACAACCACACTCACCCGCTGATCAAGTTCCAGACGCCTGTGCGCAGCGTTAGCGTTACTACGCTCAACGACGACAAGCAGCGTAAGTCGATGGCTAGACTCGGCGACCGCATGTGCGATAGGCGATCTACCTCAACCGAGACTGCCCCAGTCGCTCCTTCCACCAATGCTGCGACCCAGGTCCAGACCATTGTCGACGTGAAGCCTTCGGCCGAGCCCCAGGCCAAGAAGGAGAAGATTGCTATTCGTGACCTCCTCGTCGACTCCGTAGAGCCGGTGCAAGAGAAGCCTGCCGCACCCGTTCAGGTGAAGGCACCGGTCAAGACTGAGGCTATTCCCATCCCTAGGTCAGAGACCGCTACCGAGGGCCTCGACGCGCACTTCATCCGGGACACCATCATTGATGGCTCCAAGATCTGTGCAGGTCACCAGTTCGTTCAGGTCTGGACTCTCCGCAACCCTGGCCCCAACGCTTGGCCGCGAGGCTGCAGCGTCCGACACGTTGGTGGTGACAACATGCTCAACATCGACAACACCCGTCCTCTGAGCCACGTCGAGCTTGCTGAAGCTAGCGAGAGCAACGTGCTTGGTCACACTGTCGAGGCTGGCGAGGAAGCCCAGTTCCGTGTTCTCATGAAGGCACCTCAGCGCGAGGGCACTGCCATCTCCTACTGGCGCCTGAAGACCCCCGAGGGTATGCCCTTCGGCCATCGCCTGTGGTGTGACATTGCAGTCGTTGCCGTGCCCTCGCCTGTCGCTGCTCAGCCAGCTATCCCCATGCCAGTTCAGGTCCCTACTCCTGCCTCGGGCTCAGCTACCACCTTCGAGGTGGCTCCTAGGTCGAACCCTCTGTACGACCGCCTTCTACAGGCCAGGGCTGAGCGGATGAAGCAGATGCAACACACTCAGCAACAACAATTGCAGAAGATGAAGGATGCGCACCACTCTCTGCAGCAACAGCTGGATCAGCAGAAGATGGAGCGTGTTCAGCGTGTACGCAAGGCTGCCATGGAGCGTCTCATGGAGGGCCGCCGCAAGGTGCACGAGGAGGCGAACCGTCGCAAGGAACACGAGGCTGCCCTTGCTACTATCAAGCAGGAGCCTGTTGCTTCCTCCAAGGAGGAGATCAAGGTCGAAGAGCCAGTTGCCGAACTTTCAGTCGAGGAGAAGCAGTCTGCATCTGAGCCTATCGCTTCCGGCATGATCTTCCCTCAGCTTGACAAGGAGTCTCCCGAGTCCAGCACTTACGAGTCATCTACCACAGCTCAGCCCGCCTCTCCATCCGAGAAGAGCACCGTTGCACGCACTGTCACCGTTGCTTCAGATGATGAGTTCTTTGAGGATGCTGAGAGTGTCGCCCTGATGTCCGACGATGGCTTCATGACCGATGAGGAATACGACATCCTCGATGCCAGCGACGAGGAGATGCAGTAGGTGGTTTGATAGGCGTCAGCGAAAGCTGCCATATTTCGTGAGCACAAAGGTAGGCAAAGTGTTCCTGGTTGGTGTCTAAAGCGTTCGAATTTCTGGGTACTAGGGGCGTCAAAAGGAATGGACTGGGAGATATCGCGATCACACAACATTCCCTACACAGAGAAGGCGCTGGAGCGCGCTTCGCTACACCTCGACAGGACATGTGAGTAGGGTGCTTCATTGCCTCTGGCTCGGTTACGGCTCTCCTACTTGGCTCAATTTGATCTTTCCTTTCATGTCTTCTATATGTGTAGTAAATCAATGGTAGTTTTCTTGAAAACGCCTCCTGTAACAATGTGACGCTTGCGAAATCCGATTAAACTGCAACACATGCCCTACATCTTGATCGTTTGCGGGCGGAGCATGACTAAGCCAGGGTCTTCTAGCGCGGCCATGCTAGCGAAAAGTGCCCCAGAAAAAAGTTCGAGCCGCAAAGTATCGATACGCAACACCACCCACGCTACAATGTCGTCAGATACAGAGATGTCCTCTGCGGAAGAGATTGCCGTCGTCGCCAAGAAGGAGCGTCGCGACAAGAAGGAGAAAAAGGACAAGAAGGAAAAGAAAGAAAAGAAGCGCTCGAAGGCCGAGTTGAAGGCTGAAGTCGCAGAGTCCGATAGCGAGGACGCAGCAGAGACACCCGCAAAGAAGCGCAAGCGCGAAGCATTGCCCGACGAACTCGAGATCGACGTCAACCTTCCCGAACCCGCCTCCAAGAAAGCCGCTCGTAAAGCAAAGAAAGCCAAGCTGAACCCGACACCCGCCGCCGGCGCAGACGGAGAAGCATCGGTCGCGAAGACGGATGGGAAGACGGACGCAAAGTCAGCTGAAGACAGGGAGAATGCAGCAAAGCGCTCGGAATACGGTGTATGGATTGGCAACTTGCCATGGTCTGCCACAAAGGAGTCGCTACGAAAGTTCTTGACGGATAATACTGAAATCCCCGACGACCAAATCACACGCATTCACATGCCCCCTCCCACGAGACCGCCGCCCCCGAGCTGGACTACAAAGCCAATGAACAAGGGTTTCGCATACGTCGACTTCTCTACTGAGTTGTCCATGTACTCGGCGATTGCCCTGACGGAGATGAAGATGGATAACCGAGCGCTGCTGATCAAGAATGCGAAGAGCTTCGATGGGCGCCCAGACAAGCCCAAGACGGAAGAGACTCAGGATAATGGACGTGGAGCCAAGGACGCGAAACCAAAGAACCCTCCCAATAAGCGTGTGTTCGTCGGCAACCTTTCCTTCGACGTTACGCAGGAAGACCTCAAGAACCACTACGCACCATGCGGAAGAATCGACAACATACATATGGCAACGTTTGAAGATTCTGGTAAATGCAAGGGATTTGCTTGGGTCACCTTCAGGGACGTGGAAGCTGCGACGGCAGCGGTCAAGGGTTTTGTCTTCAAAGACCCATCTGCGTTCAAGAACAAGAAGGATAGGGACGAGAGTGACAGCGAGGTCGACACCAGCAAGCCCGTAAAGCAAAGGAAATGGCTAGTTAACAAGCTCATGGGGAGAGAGTTGCGTCGTGAGTTCGCCGAAGACAACCATACGAGATACCACAAGCGATTTGGCCATGAGAAGGAGGGTGCGGATGGAGAGAATCCAGGCCGTGAGAGAGGCTTTGGCAGGGGAGGAGGAGGCCAAAGAGGAGGCAGGCAAGACTTTGGCGATAGCAATGGCGGACGAGGTGGCAAGCGAAAGGTCGACCCGAGGAATATCAAGAGTGGTGCTGCTCATATGAGTACCCAAAGGGCGAGTCAAGCGATTGTTGAGTCGCAGGGCAAGAAGACTACTTTTGAATAAGCGTAGACGTTGTGGTTATGAAGGAATACACAGGATGGGCTGTGAGCAAGAGCTGGTCGTAGTTGACTGCATATTGTTGCTCCGCATTGTGAGACGGGCAGGTGGTGCGCGCATGGCTACAGCTGTCACCACCCACTTCCACATCCTCTCCTCGTTCCTCAAAACAACCCTAATACTATTGTTACGCCCTGAAAGCGAGTCCTCTTGACGTACCTACGTACACTCTCCTCGCGATTTATTTCCATTCAATTTACACTAATCCAACTTTCCGACAACTCACCTCCACCTCCAAGAATGTCAAACCTAAAACGCATCTCCATCCTCCCCAACCCGTCCTGCGAGCGCGCAGGCCTAAAATCCTACGCCTCCCTCCTCCGTAAATACGACTTCGCGCCCACCACCGAAGGGCCCTTCCAAGTCCTCGACGTCGCCACGAAATCCGTGAAGAACCTGTTTAAACCCGCGGCTAAGAAGGAAACCAAACCGGTTCTGCGAAAGATTGAAGAGGAGGGCAAACCGGGGGAGGTCAAAGCAGAAGATCAGCAGAATGATGCTTTGTATATCTGTCCTGTGGAGATTGGAACGCCGCCGCAAGTGATGAATTTGCATTTTGATACTGGGAGCAGTGATCTTTGGGTATGTTCTTCGTTTTTCAATTGAGTTTGATGGGGAGACGAGGAGGCTGATGTATGTTGCGATGTAGGTGTGGTCTACTCTGCTGGATCCTGCGACGAAGAAGGCGGCGGTGAATGGAAAGACGAAACATAACGTCTTTGATGCAAAGGCTAGTGAGACGTTCAAGAAGGTTGAGGGTGCGAGTTGGAGGATCAGGTATGGGGATGGTGAGTTTCTTCCCTTCTCTTGCCTTTACCCAGTCGTCCAGTCTTACCACATGATGACCTCTTCGCTAATTATGATGTACAGGCTCCACAGCATCCGGCATCGTCGGCACAGACAACGTGACCCTCGGCGGGCTATGCATCGAGAACCAAGCGATTGAACTCGCCAACAAACTCAGTCCGCAGTTTACTTCCGGCGCAGGAGACGGGCTGTTGGGTTTAGGATTCGAACATATCAATACTGTAAAGCCGAAGAAAGTGGCAACGCCTGTTGAGTCGGTCAGTTCGCTGCTCTTGTCTCTATTTTCATTCTCCTATCCTTCCACCTTTGCACCGTCTCTACACCAAAACACGAACGCATTGCTGATCCAATTCCTTCTAGATGATCTCCCAATCCGACATCCCCTCCTCCAGCGAGCTCTTCACCTGCTACCTCGGCTCCTGGCGCGACACCACCGACGCCGATCACGGAGAATCCTTCTACACATTCGGCTACATCGACGACACCGTCCTGTCCCGCTGCGGCGTCTCAGAACCCCACTACGTACCCATCGACTCTTCACGCGGGTTCTAGCAGTTCTCCTCGCCCACCGCCGTGCTAAACGGCGAAACGATCCAACGACCACCTGGAAATACAGCGATTGCTGATACAGGAACTACACTGGCGTTGCTAGATGACGCGCTCTGCGAGAAGATATACAGCACGATCCCTGGTGCGGTGTTCGATAAAGCGCACCAGGGTTGGGTTTTTCCGCTGGGGACTAAAGTCACGGATTTACCTACGTTGGCGCTAGCGGTCGGCGACAAGGTGTTTGAAGTCCAAAAGGAAGATTTTGGGTTTGCGAAGTGTGGGGGCGGGATGCAGTATGGTGGGATTCAGTCGAGGGGCAAGAGCGAGTTTGATATCTTGGGCGATACGTGGTTGAAGGGGGTTTACGCGGTTTTTGATCAGGGGAGGAAGAGGTTTGGGGTCGTGCAGAGGGTGGAGGGGGTGCAGAATCTGGAGGCGCCGAAGTAAGGGGTGGATTGGGGGGTTGTTTAGTCCTGTGGCTTTAGATTGGACTAGATAGTAGGTGGTATCAATTATTCTGATTCATGATTGAACTCAACTATCCCATGTCATCATACATCGTGTTTGACATGCGACCTACGGCGCAGCAGCATTCGCGGCCAACCACTGCCCAAACGCCGCTGCGTTCCTCGTCTGCATGAACACGGTTCCTGGCCCCGTGAACTTGCATACGAGACCCTCACCCGCCGTCATGTTACTGATGATACCTCCGCTAGCCACACGCTCGAGAACGTATTTGCAGTTCCACGCGACGAGGTGACCGTTGTCGATGATGTATTTCTCGTTGGCGGCGAGCTAGAAGAAACGGTAACGTTAGCACTCTATCAATCTGACACGAAGATCGATGATTGGAAACTTACATCCTTCCTAATGATCGCGCCAAAACTCGTCACCCAAAGCACACCCGTCCCACTAATCTTGTATACGAACAGTCCCTCACCACTGAACATGGCTTTGCCGATTCCCTGACTCTTATACTCCGTCACAATACCCTGTGTGCAAGCCAGGAAGGCGTCGCGGCCCACCGACCATGTCTCCTTTCCACCGAGCTTAATGATTGTGATGTCGCCGATGGAAGGAGGGGCGAGCAGAAGTTCACCGGGACCCGTGTATGTGGATTTGGACATGTCGCCGCCCATGAGGGCTTTTTTGAGGGAGAATTTCAGGTTACCCTTTAGCGTCATGGTGTGGGACATTGCTATCATTGCGCCTGGGAGTTGTGTTAGATATCTCATCTCCGCACTTCTTTACTCCTAACTAAACATGGAAGTATGGATCGTGTAGTGGAAGACTCACCAGGTTTAGCAGTAAAAGGACATCCAATGGCTAACTGCACTGTGAGAATGGAGTTTGTGTCCCTGTGGCTCACACGGTAGCTTCCTCCATTAAAAGTTCCCACATCGTCTGCTGAGGCACTTGCGGGTGATGTGTGTGCTGCCGCGCCCGCGCCCACGTATTGCGGTTGCTGAGGTATGCTCTGCTGGCTCATCTGCGACTGGTGGCCCATGCCTGGATGGCCAGTCTTCTCAGCGGGATATCCTGACGGAGTCGCACTTGGGCTTCCGCTAGGGAATCCACCAAACCCAGGGCTCATCGGCTGCTGTGGTTGTGGCTGGTGTTGCTGCTGTTGTGCCTGCTGCTGTTGCTGGAACGGCGGGGGCGGCGATTGCGTTTGGCCTGGGGGCGGGAAGTGCTGTTGCTCGGGTGGCGGCGCATATTGCTGTTGCTCAGGAGGCGGCGCATAGTGTTGTTGTGGAGCGACATTTCCACCTGGCGGAGGTGGGTAGTGTTGCTGTTGCTGTTGGTGTGCGGGAGGGGATGTGGGTGGTGGAGGGTAGGACTGGCCGCCTGGCGGAGGCGCAAAGTACTGCTGCTGGCCCTGTTGGTCTGGTAAATGTTAGAAGGCTGTTCAGGAGGAGCGGTGTTGTAGTGTTGGAAGGCTGGAGAAGGAGCGTTCGGTATATGACGGGACGAAAGTGGAAGGTGTAGATATACCTGGTGGTGCTACTTCTCGTCAGTTTACTTTCGCATACTTTCCGCCATGCGACTCACGAGGATAGTAGTTCCCGCCCGGTGGTGGAGTTCCCTGATATCCCGACATATTCAAGCTTGCGATCCTAAGGCGACGAAGTTGACGCGACTGTAGCTGTTACTCACGGAACGAGGCAAGGGGAGGTTAGCAGCAACCACGCGCAATGTAGGAGAGAGGAGAGGAGCGGAGAAGGGATTAGATTAGTCTACGGAAGCATCAGCACCATAAGCAGTATAGACGTTTTAACCGCGCGCCCCGTTGGTGTCTCCTTGGTCAAGCTGCTCAGCCTCCAGCGCGCAGCTGCTGGCTAGCGGGGTCTCTCGAGCCGCCGAATCAGCGCCCCGCTTCCCTCGCTCTGGCCTACGCGCCAAGCCTGTGCCACGGGTGAGTAAGAGAATAGCATAAAGTCGTTCATGCGTGAGCACCTATTTTGGATCGAGAGATTTAAGTTGGGCAGAAACAAACATGTTCGCATGTCCTCATGATGCAGGGGAGCTCCGGGAGGCACCGTAGCTATCAGGGTCCACTTGCGACCGACTTAAGCGCCCACGATATCTCACATGCTAGTCTGCATCTTATTTCCCAGCGCGTATATCAGCCATCATACATTACGCACGTACTGAGCATAGTTCTCTTCTACGTCTATTAGGCTGTATCTTTTCACTCATCTCAATGTACATGAACCATCCCAGACATTGCTTGAATCATCGTGACCGTTCATAGCGCCGAAAAGCGTCATAACAGCAACAGCCGTAGCGCCCGCTGATCGAGAAGCCCCAGCCCAAGCCATGCATAACATTGAACATCGTAAAGCGCATAACATCAATTCCTCTAACCCACCATTCTCCGCCTCTTTCCGATCTGGGCCGAGAAACCAGTCTTGATGGCCTGTACCGAACGTCTCGATCCGCAGCTGTTGCAGGTGACGAAGTTGAGACGGTTCTCACCCTTGGAGAGATCCGTGTCGGGCGAACGGCAGGTCTTGCATGTAACGTATTCGACAATGTATCGTCGGAGAACGTTCTCGAGTTGCTTTTGCTGGAAACGACCCTTGATGACCAAGCGCTTCTGGTCGGCAAACGAACCGCTCGTACCCAGTTCAGCAAACAGGAACTGGGCAACGTGCTCGTCGGAACGCTTCATACGCTTGCAGATCTCGGCAAGGTTGGCAAAGACGGTCTTCTTGTTTCCTTCGCGCATGCACTGTGGGGGCGGGATCTTGTAGCTCTTTGTGCCCGAGCTGGCGAGGTCGGGATGTTGTGCGTGGAGGAGCGTGAAGAAGCGGTTCAGGAGGAGGTTGTACGAGATGGGGGTTGTCGAGTTGTGTTCCCAGATGCCGGTGCCCTTCATCATGTCGCCTTCTTGTACTTCGGGTTCGGGAGCAGCGACCTCCTCCTCGCCTTCGGGCTTGTCGCCGCCGGCGGCAGCGAGCTTGGCCTCGAAGTCGTCCTCGACCTTCTTCTTGCTGGACTTCTTCTTCTTCTTCAGCGCGGCGAAGTCGCCCTCTGCGCCGTCCTCTTCCTCGCCTTCCTTCTTCTTGGAGGACTTCTTCTTCTTCTGTATCTTGTCAGCAAGATGTTGATAATCGCGCATGCGTTTTGCGGCTCACCTTCTTTGCGAGATCAGCGAACATGTCGGTGACCTCCTCGACCTCTTTGTCGTCACCTGTAGCCCCACTTGTCAGCGACTGATGTGTTTCCAGTGTGTGGTCCATCTTACCAGCACCCGCGGTGTGGCCCTCAGCGGAGTCTTTGTCGCCGTTCATCTCTAGTGATTCGGTAACGTCGCCGTTGCTGTCGACAATCGTAGCACCTTCGGAAAATTGGACCGACTTGCGGGGTTTGCGGTCAGGGAGATCGGCCTATGTAGGTGTCCGTTAGTATGTAGCTCTTTTTAGGGAAGTAGAAATAAGTCCCAGCTAGGAAGCTGGCATGCAGCAAGCCCACTTTCAAGGCACAGGATATTTCGAAAGCGAACGTGGGGCTGTGACGTACAGAATCAGCCATGATTGCGGTTGCACTCGTGTTTTCGATCTTCAGTGAGTTCTGGGGATGTTCTGGTATCGATTCGAAGTACGTAGTGATATGTAGGCGTGGTGAGTCGAAGAGTTAGGCAGGCGGTCACCCTAAAGTTCGCCGCAACACATGTGTGAGTCGAACGCTGAGTGCCAAGATTTGCGTCACGTGCCGACTGCCGCTAAGCCCCACCTCCGCTCATTGGCTGGAGCGCTCCGACACCATTCACCGAACGCGCCTCTACCATAGCCGTCGCGATCCCGTCACTATCGCCAATGCTGCTACGGTAGTCCGCCGATCCAGTCATACATCCACCGCCTCTTCTATCAACGGTTAACGCCACCGCCGCCATGTCCCTGAGCAATAGCGAGAGCTTCATCGAGCCATCCTCTAACGACGAGATCGATTCGTTACCATCCTCGGCAACAAGCTCCTCAGCCGATGAGGAGGAATACATGTCAGACGCGGATAGGGAATGGAAAGAGTCGCTGCAACAATTGGAGCTGCTGTTGACAATGGTCATGGTTCCATACCTGGGGAAATACTTTGGCAGGAAGGCCGCATACTGGGGTACGTCATGTTCAAGGTTAGATGATCTGATGGATGGCAGGTAGCTAACAGCTTTGCAGGATGGGCCAAGTTCATGGAATGGAAATACCCCGTCGAAATCGTTTTCTCGAGTCCGAAGACGTTCAAGCTAGCCGGAGCTGTTGAGGCAGCAGCAACATTATGAGCGCTTTCCATTACCTCGGCGGCTTCACGTATTCGAGCATCGGCGTTTATGGCGTTGGGACCCATCCGACATCTGCACAATGGGCGTCACTTGTACATACCACTCTATTACCACGACATATGGAACGCATATATTACAAGGCAAAGGGCACATGCCCAACCTCTACTCAAGAATCTCCCCGTTAAGAATCGTCCTCCCATAAGCATCATTGTGCCAATAGTCACCCTCCCGGCAAGTAAGTCGGTCCTGCATATGCTTTGTGTCTATTCCGCCATCCTTGGCATGTATCTCCTCCATCTCCTGCCTTTTCTTGCTCTTGGGCTTTCCTTCTTTGATGCGTAGCTTCTCAAAGTAGACGTACGAACCATAATAGATGCCGGATGTGTTGCCGTTCAACGCCCCTTTCTTGCTGCGGAAAGCAGAGAGTTGACGCGCGTTGAGCGTCTTGGGTGGGTTGTGGAATGACGCTGAGGCTGCGCGAAGGAATGCAGCCTGGGTTACGCCGGGTTTCTTGAGGTGTGCGTTGATCTTATGGCGGACGTCGTCGCATGTATCTATCAGCGTGTCAGTACGAGACTCTTTTACATCGTAAAGGAGCCAAAGCTTACCGTATACTGGTACTTTATCTTCCTTCTCGAAATCCAGTTCAACATCATCGACACTAGGCACACTATCCTTCGCCGCGACTCCTTCATTCTTCTTCGCCTTCTTGTTCGCAGTCGTCTTGATGCCCGCCATCTCGCGCCGCTGGAAAAACGCGTACGCTGCCGGATATACAGAAGACTCAACTCCCTTCTCCTTCCCGTGCTGGCTCATGAACCGCGAGTACGCATTGGGGGTGATGCCAACTGCCTTTTGAAACTCGCCCACTTTCATTTCGCCGTTGTCAATCAAGGTGCGTATCTTACGCCTGCATACAAATCAGATACTGTACGCAGATCATGGAGGATCGGAGATGTGCATGGCGGCGTAGAAACACGTAACGCGCGCATTGTTACTAAAGGAATAACCGCATACCGTAAAACATCGCAACTCTCCGTCACAGGCCTGTTCTCAAGCTCAAAATCTGATTCGTCATCATCGATGATGTGCATGCTCGGGTTAGGCATAGTTGGGTTCGAGGTAGTCGGGTTTGGCACAGGCGCATTCGAGATAATCGTGTGCGGCATAGGAGGCGGGTACGACATAGGTTGGTTCGACATAGGCGGGTTCGACATAGGCGGATGCGACATAGGTGGGTGCGATATATGCGGATACGACACAGGCGGGTAGGACGAAGTTGGGTTCTCCATAGTCGGCATCGGCGGGTATGGGTTCATATACGCCATGTTGCAACTACGCAATCCTGATGTGATTGTGTTCCAACAACGATATACAGCGGCGGGTGTCAGAACGCAATAGGGTGGCTAAGACGCAGATTCAGAGGGTAATAGTAGAGATAAATGAGAAAGGGCGGCATTGCTATCACCCCATCCTTATGACGTCTGTTGCGACGCGTCTGTGTTTTGCGCTAGTGGGCGGGGAAAGTACGAACGCGTTCTCAGGGGGGCGAGTATCAACATCGTGATCGGACCTGCAAGATGCTGTCCAAGTCGACGACTCGCTCACCTCTTTGAAAGCGCAGCATGATTTCATTCAAGTGTTTTCACTATTGCAACTTGACGACGTGTGACGCCGAAAAAGTCTCCCAGAAGGCCTGAGCATCAAGACAGAACACCACGAGCAAAGAGGTCGTGACTCGTTGGATAGTAAGCACAACCCCAAAAGAAAGCAGCGCATTTCGATCACGGGCGCACGATGACTCCAGAATCTTCGCTGGCCATTGCTTTCCAATAAGTTTTTTCACTCTCCAGGGCTGCTCATTCGCTGACTGAAACGGACGCTAGGCACTTGAACCGGGGGGTGTGTGTGTATACAACATGAAAGCGCAGCACTATCCATAATCACGCCGAAACACGACAAGCCGCGAAATTAGACACGGCATAATCGTCCGTTCTGAGTTTGAGTCCCCTGCTCGCCATCCCTGATTTCCCAGTCCTCGCTGCCGACAGCTGTTGTAGCGTAGAAGACGCTTTTGGGGTCCCACTTCTCCTTGATCGTGAGAAGCTTGGGGTAATTCTTCGCACCGTAGAAGTCGATTTGCCAGTTTGGCTCTTGGATGTCCGCCTCGTTGAGATAGACGCCGCCACCCTCGGACGCCGGAGCGACTGCACGCCACGAGTCCATGATGTCGTACGTAAGGTAGTCGGATGCTTCCTTCAATTGAGCCGGTGTCGCGTTCTCTGGAACCATGTTTGCGGTTATCAAGAAAGACTGGGTGTTGCGCCATGCTTCATTGACAGCATTGTCGACCTTGAAAGGGTTACCTGGAGCCATGTGGTAACCGCCGACCGTATGACCGTTCATCACTGTATCCTTGACAGTGGTGTAGAAAGAGTTGAACTTCTCTTCGGTTGCCCAAAGGCTCTTGGGGAAGAGACGGGTAGCTTGACGAATGGTGGTCACACCGAGGGTATCCGCGCCCCATGAGCCTTTGTTGGCAGAGTAAAAGTCGTCGTGGTAGGTCGTGTTGGGTGTTACCGAGATGTTGAAAGACTTGAGGTCGGCGAAGAAGTCCTTCGTAAGCGCATTGAAGGACTCAATAGTGTGGTTTGGCGCAAAGAAGGGCGTCATCTGGAAGTCGAGCGTCGTACCGTAGTTCCAGATCCAGAAGTACGAATAGGTGCCAGCGTTGGTGAACTCAGGGAATCGCTTCATGTAAGCGTTGATGCCCTTCCAGAAGTTGGCAGAGTCATTGACTGGGGCCTGGAAAGAGAAGACAGACTTGGTGACGGGTATTCTCGGATGGGCTTTCGCGATGACTGAAGTCACAACACCAAACGTTCCGCCGCCTCCTCCGCGAAGAGCCCAGAAGAGATCGGAGTTGCTGGAGTCAGATACGGTTACGAAGCGCCCATCGGCGGTGACGACCTCAAAGGCGAGAACTTGGTCAGCGGCCATGCCGTAGATGGATGCGAGAGGTGAGTGACCACCTCCGGTGACATAACCACCACTCCATCCAACAGTCTACGTCTAGGGTTAGTACTTGCGCCTCCGACATACAGTATACTACGATGACTTACTTCACAGATACCAGCCATGACCGTCACATCGTGGTCGCGGGCAGCCTCCAGAATCTCAAACCCTTGGACACCAGCACCAGCCTTGAACGCCGGGCCGCTGTACTTGGTCGAATCGTACTGCTCAATGAACTGGATATCTTTGAGGTTGTGTGTCCAAAGACTGAGGGCACCCGCCCCAGACGACTTTCCAATGTAGTCATGCCCAGTGTTTTTGACAGTCAACCTGAGGTTCATGTTGCGAGCAAAGTTGACACCAAGCTGCACCTGAGCGACGTTCTCGACATCGATCGAATAGGATGCATAGCCGCCTAGCGTACAGGTGCCACTGGGGTCGTCGGTAGGCATGCATGTACGGCCCTGGAAGAGCGGCCACATCATTGAGGTCGGGTCACTCGTGTGGAGATCGGATGTCGTGAATCTAGCAGAGATGTCTGCGCACTTCGCCTCATCATAGTCATCCCAGGCTGAGTCCTTGTAGCATGGCGCAGCGATGGGAGTCGTCTCGATGAGCGCTCCTCCGAGTAGGCTGTCGAAGGTCGACCATACGTTTTCTTCCGGATAATCCGAATCGCCTGGAAAGACTTTGCATTGACCGCTGCTGATTTCATGCGTCGTCTCCTCCTCATTGTCGAAGCCAAAGAGTGAAATCACGTCAACCTCTCTGATCTGGCGAGCAGCCGCATTCAGGGCATCGTTGGTCAATTGGACTGCCTCGTTCGGGAAAAGCGCGACTCCGGCAGGCGAGTTCGTGGAGACTGTGGCGGCGGCAGGTGCGACATCGCGGAAAGCAACCGGACTTCCAAGAGCGCCAATAGCGTTTGCAGCTAGAAACAAGAGAGACCTGCGCGCAGACATAGCGAAAGGACAGCTGGTCAAAAAGAGTGAACGTGTAGGCGCTGCACGACCAAGCCTCGTCGACCATCTTGATAAATGAACAAAAACCCACGCCACGCCGAACCGAAGGATTCAATCTAGATTCACACATCAGATAGTTTCTAGGAGGCAAATGTCGGGATGCGGCATGCTCTATACAACGTGCATGCCGCTCGCTGTATTCACATTACTCGTACCTACATATGAAGTGGAGCCGCGGCTCGAATACCCACGGCCCGCTCCTTCGGTGGCTGTTCACTCCA